GAACTTCTGCCCCCCCACTGGAGATTATCTTGCCTTTTATGCATGTTTTTTTGTTGGATCTTCCAATGTCCAGCAATACAATTGGGTTTCATTAGATTATTTAATCTTATCTTGACAACCAAACGAGGTCTTAGAGTGAAAATCGATTAAATGGGTTTTAACCTAGTTATACAATAATCCCATGGATAAGTTATCACTGTTTAGATTGGGTTGTTGTTATGTTATCAATGCATTTCAAATGATGTTTATTTAGGCATCGTTTGGTTGCCAAGATAAAATTAAATAATCTAATGAAATCCAATTATATTATTGGACAACATGCCTAGAAGGCAGGACAAGGCACGATAACTTAATATTTACGGGTCGACCCGACAAGTTAGTGGGGATACCAAACATCAAACAAAGTCTAATTATTTAGTTAATCATGGCTAGTCTCACTAACCAAATGAGGCCTTATTTATTTAATTAACATTTCGGATGATTTTTTAACATTTTGGATGATGTTTATTTATTCCTTTGCAGTTTGGACAGCAAGGAGACTTGTACATTGGTTTCTAAACATGGATAAAGAATGGGTGAAATTTGACAGGTTAAAACCGAAAATCTTAATCGTGTTTAATTGGGCATGATTTTTTTATTTTTTTTGAACTTTAATATTGATGCAAAATAAACTTTTGTAACTGTAGACGTGGGAAAAAATACCAGGAGGCAGCACGTAGTTTTGCCAATGCAGCTCGTGCGCGATCGGGAGATTCAGATATGATTGTGTGCCCTTGTTTGCAATGTAGAAACTTGCAGCACCACCACTTTGATATAGTGTACGAACACATTGTCATAAAAGGGTTCGATCCTAATTATAAAATTTGGTTCTTTCATGGTGAAAGACCAAACGGGTCGACCCAAAACGAGACTAAGGGAGAACCTTGTGTCGCTCGAGAAGAAGATGCTAAAAATCTCGTCAGAAAAGCAGAGTGTCCGTTCAATGAAGTTGTTGGCAACAAAAAGGTCGAGCTGACGAATTTCCCTTTCTTTTCTTGCAGTGCGTGTACGTATGTACGTATGTATGTATGTAGGTATGTATGTATGTATGTATCTATATCTATATCTATTTGTGCATTTTGTTAGTGGAGGAGAAATCGTAGTGATTATTACGTTGCTTTCAATAGTCTTGAATACGATCTCGATCTTCAGTCGCTTCGAAGTGTTTCCTTAACTTTCTTGCCTTAAGTCATGAATCTTGCTTTTGAACGGCAATCAGTCATAATTAATACGGAGGGAAGGAATTTATCGTGTAAATATAGTTATAACGAAGGAATTGCATGCCAATCTGAAACGAAGTTGATTTCCGATTTCCGATTTCCGATCATAATATTCCATTCAGGTACTTATCGTAATGTTTCCGACCACAAACTGATATGTACGTTACTTATCATAATATTTCATTCAGGTTCGAGTTTGTGAACACAGTTTTGGTGCTACTCCGTCTAAAGTAAATCCAACAAATCTAGGTATTAATGCTCGAGTCGACAATTTTGAAGCAATGCTGAAATCTTTAGAGCGCAGGATGGATGCTTTCGAAGCTAAATTGGAAGCACTTTTGAAAGTACATCAACAGGTAAAAAAAAATTTATTTCTTTTTAAGATTAATTAAAAACCAATATACGTTGAGTCTCTTTTTATTTGTTAATTTCAGTCGGAGCAAGAAAGTCATTCGAAGCCCACCGATTATCAAAATGCAAAGTGTCGGTTATTACATTGGTATAATGTTGAAGCTGAAGAAGTTGTAGGTGAAGGGCATATTGTTTCGGTTGACCCACGCGCTAAAGTTTACGATATGCCTCTTGGTAGAGATTGTTGCAAGGTGTTGGTTAACGCGGTTTTCGATGAAGATTTGGATTTGATTAGACGCGCGGGCGGATTTAAAAAGCTTAGTGAGGCTTTAGGAAGTATAGTTGCGTGGCCAAAAAGTTGTATCAAATTGATTTAGGTATTTCGTTCAATTTTTATTCACTAAATGTTTCTTAACTAGTAATTTAAAGATATTGTGCTTAATTCTATCACTTATAAGTTACTCATTCCGTTCCCTTTTAATTGTCGCTATTTAGCTTTGCACAATGATCGATGATCTCATTAAACCTGTCTTGATTTTATGAAAATGTATGATTTTAAATTAAAATGCCATTGTCGTCTAATTAATAAGAGATAAGTGAGTTAAAAAAAATTAATGCCGGAGATAATAAGGAAATTCAAAGTAAAAAAAAAAGAGTTAATGAGGGTATAAAGTGGAAATTAAATAATTAATGCAGTATTGGATAGATACGTACGGCTTAATTCCACTTTGCACCCTTGAACTATACCATTTTGGCACTTTGCACCCTCGAAACAAATTAATAGCACTTTGCACCCTCGAAATACAATAAATCAATAATCATGCATAATGCACCCCAAATGAATTTTTAAAGCTAATAAATGTAATTTAATATTTTAATGATATTTTTTAGGATGACAAATGTCAAAAATCCTTTATTCATCAATTATTTCGATATTATAAAGTGTAAGAATAAAAATACATCTCATCAACATATTTCAAAATTATATTTTTTTATCACAAAAGACATTTTACGAAAAAAAGTCATTCAGCTGTTTCGTTATCAAGTAATCTGAAAATCATAACCAAATATTCTTACCTAATATTTCCACCAGTTGCAATAAAAGATCCATCAATCGAATAATTTAGTGATAAAAGTTTATTTTATTTTATTTTGTAAGAAAATATAATTGTTTTTAATAATCCGGTGTGATTTTTATTTTTTCGCACTTTGTCCGCTCGGAATTAGGTTGAAGGTTGAAGAAAATAACAATTTTATTTGTTACATTGTATTCCAGAAAAAAAAAAAAAAAAACAATAAATTCAGGGTGCATTGTGAATGATTTATTGTGTTTTGAAGTTGCAAAGTGCTATTATTGTTTTTTGAGGGTGCAAAGTGCCAAAAAGCTCAATTTCAAGAGTGCAAAGTGGAATTAAGCCAATACGTACAGTGATAGATACTATGTAACCAAAAAATAATCTTGAAAGCGACAAATGTGGAACAAATGGAGTATAATTGATGTGAATCAAGTTTCTTAGGGTGGTGTTATTTCCCCCTCCAAATTATCTTAATTCACAACCAAATTTATATAAAAAAATCATAAATACCCTTCAAATTTATAATCCACCATCCTTCTTTATATTCGCTTAATCCTTCTTTACTCTCAGTTATTTATTTTTTTTGCAATGAAATATTTATTACAAGATATTTAAACTTTCATATCAGATGACCTACAAACTATGCAACTTGTTATAATGCAACAAAACATTCCATCCAATTTTTCATAATAAAATTGTGAACTTTAAATTTTATATAGTTGATTCTTCCCAAAACTAAAAAATCTAAAAGGGTAAAACAAGATTTTAATAATCGTCAATATGAATTAGTTTCTGCGCAGATTGTAGGGCTGGGCAAAAATTACCAAATACCGATTACCACGGTATACCTACCATAAATTACCGAATAAATACCGAACTATCGGTTACCACTACATTTGGTACGGTATCGGTACCGTACCATTGCCTTACGGTACGGTAGCGGTATTGTATCTTCAATACCATGGTAATACCGTACCGTACCGCAACTTTGTATTTTTAAAATTAGTTAATATATTCAACAAATATTCAACTTTATACTTTATATTCAACTTTAGATAAAAAAAAAATATAGTCAACAAATATTATAAAGAAAATAAAAAACAAGAATAACGATATGATACATCATATATATATTATATATACATAGTTATAATTTTTTATTATCTTCATATATTTATGCAAACTCAATATTAGCTCCCGTTAAAGTTGTTTATGTCATGTACTTCTTTAGTTTCAAAGTCCAATTAATCACTTATTGGTGGAATACTTTTTGCCATATTTTCTTCTCCCTTTCTTTCCCCCTGAGTTCCCAGTCTTCTGTTTCATTTGCATTATTGCAATTTTTTTTTTTTTATTTCTCTTACTTAAACCATCAAACTTTTTTGCTCGTTACAAGTTTCTACAATTTTTCTATAGATATCTTAGTAAGCATTAGTTAATTAAAGCAACATATGCTACTACGGTTGTATAATGTATATTCATGTAGATTGCTTGATCGATCACCATATTCATTTGCTTAATTTGTTTTATTTATACATTTATTTAGTATTCATCTTAATTATTGTATCATCCGAGTTCATCAAAAAAATGATGTACGGTAGATTACCACGTACCGATCATACCATACCGAAACTTACGGTATACCGAATAACGGTATACCGCAATTATTGGTACGGTAACGGTATAGAATTTTTCAATACCGAAAGATACGGTAGGTACACGGTATTGAACAAAATGTTCGGTAACCGTACCGAAACCACCCCTAGCAGATTGCGATGAAAGAAATGTAACCCTTTTCTCAAATTATAATCCATCGAAAACAACAATATCAAAAATCTATGGAGTTTCTTTTCTAATTTATATCTACACAAACACTCTTAATTTATTTCTTTGGGAATGTGAATTCCTGCTCTTTTTTACCTTCGAAGATATTTTTCTCTGACGAATATATCGTTCACTTAAGGTGGAAAATGTGGTATTTTGTGGTAAAAATTCTAGTGAAAAATGGTGAAGTTTTTTTGTGAATATTATAATTAGTTTGGTGGTGGACAGTTTATGAATTTACATAGAATATGGGTGACAAAACAAAAAAAAAAAAAGGTAAAATAGGAAATATATTTAATTTGGTGGTGAAATAAAATATTTTGAGGGTGTAAATAATGCGTTTCACTTCTTATGATTAAAAATTTTGATAAAATATGAAAGCGTAGTTTTGAAAATTGACAGCGCAATAAATGTAAATTTTACAATTCGGTAAAAATTGGCATCGAATTTCTGAAAATTGACTTCGACATGCTCCCTGCATTGTTCACATGACGCATAGACACTATTTTCAAGATATTTAGTTGATAAAAATTATATTAGTATCTTTAATAAAACGAACGAGGAACTTTTATTAAAAAAAAAAATCTACTAAAGAAATTACATGTAAGTGAGTTTGATCTAATTGCTCTAGCGTTTCTTACTTTTATAAATAAAGATAAGCTGCTAGGGGTCTTATAAGTTTTTTTTTTTTTTTAAAGTACTTACCCCACCCTTTTTTTTTTTAAGATCTTATAAGTTGTTTTTTTACAAAATTTCCAGCAAATACTTTACTACATTACATGAATACTAATAACATATAGGGTGCATTTGGATGGAGGGATTTGGGGGAGGGATTTCAAATCCATAATAACAAATCCCTCGGACTTGTTTGGATTGAGAGATTTGGAGATGGATTTCAAATCCCCACCCCTCCTTTTTAGTTGATTTTGGAGCAATAGTGATGGATTTCAAATGACTCCAAAATTGGAGTCATTTCAAATCCATTCTCCCAAATCAAATCCCTCC